CCACCTGGAAGGCTTTGGTCTTAGCTCATTTCTCATCGTTCCTCCTCTCCAGCGTGGTGGCGACCGCTCCCGACATCCTGTTGCCGCTTTCGCTCATGCTGGAGTGCGTTCTACAAGTCGACCAGCAGATGATGGACAGGACCAAAGCCAAAATCCTGTCGGCGCTCATCTCCGTGCTGCAGATCCAAGGTATGAGAGGCGCAACGTTTTCTTGTTTTGGACCAAATTTACTTCCCCAACTACACCTCTAAAACATCATGTGTGTATTTCTCCTTTAAAAAAAAAAAATTTTTGCTTGAATCACTTATTCAACATTTTAACATGCACGTTTTGAGAGTCTGCCAAATGTGTCACGAAAACAGCAAACATATACCGAGAAAAGAGAAACGTGTTCAAAAATCCCTGAGAAAACATTTTGTGGTGTCAAAAATGTGGCCCAGGTGGCGAGGTGTCGCAGCTGCCCCAGCTGCTGTTGTGTGTGTGCGAGACGGTGAAAGACGAAGCGTTGTCGCTGAGGGACAGCACTCGTCATCTGCAACACTCGGGGGAACCAATGAAGGACGATGACAGCATGGAGACCGACGTCCCCCGCGGCCCCCACAAAGACCAGAAGGATGGGGTGAGTCCACTTCATCCATCCATCCATTCATTCATCTGGCCAAGCTGGCATGTTTTCCCACCATGCTTTTTTTTTTTTTTTGGTCCCTAAGGTGTGCGTGCTGGCGCTGCACCTGGCCAAGGAGCTGTGCCGCACCGACGAGGACGGCGAGCATTGGGTGGCCGTGATGCGGAAGGTTCCAGTGCTGCCGTCTGTGCTCACCGCCATGGAACTCAGTCTGCGCTCCAAACAGAACCTCTACTTCACCGAGGCCGCCTTGCACCTGCTGCTTACACTGGCCCGCACGCCGCAGGTCAGCTAAGCGCCAAAAATACCAGCTCCTCAAATCTCATGCCTTATATAGACCGGTGGTGGTCAACCCGCGGCTCGCGAGCCGCATGCGGCTCTTTGGCTGGGTCAATGCGGCTCCCGGGCTTTCACACCACAAGCAACGGAAACGCCTCGGCGGCGGCACTGCCATTCAAACAACGGAGCTAAATACACAGAATGTACTACGTTAGCCTATCATCAATCCCGTTACTTGATTGACATACAGGGCAACCAGTCAGATGACTGAATCGCCACTAATGCGCAAACCACGGCGCTAAGTGCTAAAGCGCTAAGCTAGTCAGTGAATTCCCTCAGATTTTAAGGCAGGGGTGCGAAATACGTCGATAGCAATTGACCGGGAGCCAGCGGACTGGTCCCAAGTCAACCGCGAGGGGTGGGAGGAGGAAATGGGGGGTTGGGGGTGTTTGTGTCTTTCGGTTTCGTTCATGTTCGGGCCGTTGCTCATCAGGCCGTGCGTGCATATGTGTGCGAGTGCATGGTTGGGCACCCGCGTGCGTGTGTATACGCTTGCACGTGTGCGATCGGGTCGATTGTGGGAGGTTGGTCGCTTCAAAAGTCGATCTTTGGGCAAAAAAGCGTGCGTGTGTGTGAGAGAATGTGTGTGAGTGAGTGAACGCGCGCGAGGATGGGATGCGGTGATGCTTATGTGTGTCCATGTGTATGATGTGGCTCTTTGCAGGAACATGGTCAAAAATTGTCTCTTAGTGTAAGACTGGTTGGGCACCCCTGCTACACACGGTAGTTTTTTTGGAGCTAAAAACGCCTTACGATACATGGTCGTTTTTTTTTTTGGCCCAAAATGCCCTACTATACATGGCCCTTTTTCTGAGCCAAAAACGCCTTACTATACATGGTCGTTTTTTCGGCCCAAAACGCCTTACTATACATGGTCATTTTTTTTCGGCTAAAAACGCCTTACTATACAAGGTCGTTTTTTTTTGGCAAAAAACGCCTGACGATACATGGTCGTTTTTTTCGGCCAAAAACGACTTACTATACATGGTCGTTTTTTTGGGCTAAAAACGCCTTATGTTTTTCCATTTTTTAGAACACGTTAATCTCATCAAATAAATACTCCATTTATAGTAAATACCATAATATCATATCTTCGGCCTCTATTGTGTATTCATGTGTTTAATCCACTTGATTCATTTCAGTTTTCCCACCCTGCTTCACTCCATACATCTGTCCAAATGTGGATTTCTGAAAGCCAAGCATTTGTTCCTCCAGGGTGCAGCAGCTGTTGCCGGAGCAGGAGTCATCCAAACAATATGTCTTCCTCTCCTCAGTGTCTATGAAGTCTGGAACAACTGCACGTCACAGGTACTTGGTTTGTTTTTGTTGTAATCTTGGCCTGTGGTGTGAAATGGCGCCCTCTCCTGAGCAGAGTTTCAGCCGTAAATCTCAAGACTGCGCGTGCTGGCCTGGTGTCTACCGCCTGTGTGTGTCCTTGATGGAGAGTCTGCTCAAGACTCTGCGCTACAACTTCATCAACGAGGCGCTTGACTTTGTGGGTGTGCACCAGGAGCGCATCCTGCAGGTACGGCACCGCAGAATTTTATTTTATTTTTTCCGTTCAACACGACTGTCGCACTAACTTGTCGCCTCCTCTCACTCAGTGTCTGAACGCCGTGCGCACCGTGCAGAGTCTGGCGTGTCTGGACGAGGCCGACCACACCGTCGGCTTCCTGCTGCAGCTCTCCAGCTTCTCCGAAGAGTGGCAGTTCCACCTGCCCAAGCTGCTCCAGGATGTCCAGGCAAGTCCCGGAGGAATCCAGTCCGACACGACTCATTAAGGGGGAACGCAAGGCAAAATGTTCCTTGTGCCCACACCAGTCTAGACATTTTGTTCGAATTAATATTGCTGAAACGTGTGAATGTGCTTTCAGGTGAATCTGTGCTACCTGTGTCAGACTTGCACGTACCTGCTGCACAGCAAGAAGATGCTGCACCACTACCTCCAGGTGACCACCACATCCTACCTGTAGCTAGCAGACCTCTGAGCTCCGTTTGAGTCTTGTCAGCATAGCAGTGGAAGCGGAGGCTGTGATGGCAAATATTTTGTCCAAGCGGAAGCACACGGTCCAAACAATAGAGTCTTGGGGCCACATTGGTGAACTGATGCAAAATGCTAAAGATGGGCCGACAGAAATGTCTTGATCAACCTTTAAACAAACTGCTACTTTAACACGGACGCTTTTCAAACATTAAGTGCACATTTTCCTCCTTCAAGGCGAAAAATGGCGAGTCGTTGCCCCCCGGCCCCCTCCCCAGGACGCAGCGCCCCCCGCAAACGCCGTCCAAGGAGTTGCAGGCATCCACTTCCGGGGCGTCGGGTCGATGCGAGCGGGACGAAGTAGAGCAGAAGGCCGTGTTGGCCGTGCAGTGCGCCCTGCTCAAAATCCTCAGCAAGACGCTCGCCAGCCTGCAACATTTCACTCCCGATTGCTGCCAAATCATACTGGATCAGGTAAAGATTTGTCAGCACATATATTTTTTAAGTTTTTCTCTTTACTAACTATAGGTTGAAACCCTTACCCTAGTTGAACACTCTGCTTTGAATCCTTAATCCGATGAAAGGGGAAGAATACCAGCGTTTTCGTTGACAATAGTAACACCTTGGTGTCTGTGTTTTTGTCTTGCCCTCTCAATCGCTGTGGACGCAGTGCATGGATCTGTCGCCGTACCGCACGCTGTTTGCTTTGAGCTTCACGGCCCCAGCCTTTGATCCAGACGTGTCTCCGTCCTTCGGGACCTTGCTCGCCACGGTCAACGTGGCGCTCAGCATGCTCACCGAGGTACTGCCAACACACATGCGCCCTTCTGGGAAGGCATGCATGACGTGACAACTTTGTTAACGTTGTGTCAGATGGAGAAGAAGAAGGAGGCGGCCTCGCTCAGCATTGTCTCTCTCGCCTCCTCTGAGGAGATCCAGGCTCTTAAGTGAGTAGTTTATGCCGGCGACACGACCTTTGTGCGTGGATGTCCTAAACATGTGTGTTCTGTTCTTGAGGTCCCTGCTGATGTTCACCATGGAGAACTGCTTCTACGTGTTGGTGTCACAGGCATTGCGCTGCCTCAAAGACACGGCCATCTCACCGCGAGACAAGCAGCGGCTCAAGCAGGAACTCAGCTCTGAGCTGGTAAGGGCTGTTTTCAACATGGTTTTTATCAAGATTTTTAGGTTTCTTATTTTTAATATAGGTTTGTTTGTTTTTTTACAGAGCACTCTCCTGTCCAGCCTGTCGCGTCACTTCCGCCGCGGCTCGCCGTCGTCCCCGGCGGGCATCAGCGGTGTGGCAATCCTGCCGTGCCCGCCGCAAGCCAAGCCGACCACACCGGGCTCCAAGGGAGCCCATGAGGGCCAGGAGCCCATCATCCAACTGGTGCAGGCCTTCGTGCGACTGGTGCAGAGATGAACGAAATATTGCCGCCACAATAAACGTGTTAAATTGAAAAGGCAATGCAACATTTTTCAACAAGGCCTAGTTTTATAGGCTGCGACATTGGACAGCTTTCATTTGTTACATCTTATTTTGTACTTAATTGCTAATAAAGATATTTCTGGACACATTTCAAACTTTTTTTTAAAACTGCATTCAGTAAATCATACAAATATACAGCTCCCGTCTCATAAGTTCATCATAAAAAAAGGAGAAGATAACTATTTACAAATGTAAAGGAAAACACACATGTCGAGGAGCAGGAGTTCCCTCCCCCTGACTTAACCCAGGAGTAAGGGAACAATGGTTCCTCGACAGCCGATCCTGCCTGTTTTAGGTGCCTCCCCTACTCCAACACACCTGAGTCAATTGTTCATGATCGTTTCAGGCCTCAACAGCGGGGTTCTCAAACTCCGCTCCTTTGGAAAACAAGCAGGAAAGCCACCATTAAGGACCGGAGGTGGAGACCCTTGTTCTACAGAGCTTGCTGAGCAGCTGAGCAACAAGCTCTGTAGAACAAGGGTCTCTAACTCCGGTCCTCGATGGTGGCTTTCCTGCTTGTTTTCCAAAGGAGCAGAGGCCTGAAATGATCATGAACAATTGACTCGGGGTGGGTAGGATTAGGGTGGCACCTAAAAGGGGCAGGATATTGCTCTCGAGGAACAGGAGTCCCCTACCCCTAGGTGAAGGTGACAGCTGGACAGGAACATGAAGCAGGATCACTCACTGCTCGTCTGAGGAGAACCCATCAGCACCCCCTATTGGCCATTTACAGGCACTTCCTGAAAAGGAAGGAAACACATGTTCACTAACGCTGTGTAAACAACAAAAGAAGGAAAATCATGCAAAGCCTCAAAGTTAAACATTTTGGATATGTTGAGTGATACCATGCTTTTAAATGTCAGCAGCGTCGCAGGGGAAAAACCGAGTTTGAAAAAAGTCACCCACTCACCCCTTTTTTTGGGAGGTGGCATTTTTCTGGGTGAGAAAATAGTCCAAATGTTGTGAGCACAGCTTTTGACATTTGGCCCCATTTAGCTTCAAGCAAGCTAAGAGTATGCGCATGAATTCAGCAGCCGATTCTTCACAGGCGTGTCATTGCCATGACTCTGCATGATGTCACCCATGCAAAAAGGCTGCATGCATCACGCACGTTTTACCTTGTGCTCCAGTCGGGCCTTGCGGGCCAAAGAGGTAACAGTGATTTCTCTAACGTTATGGGAAGGGGGAATAAAAATAAAATCACAACAAAACACCAGTTGGTATCAATCAAGTGCCCACAGTGGTGTGCATCTATTTCGTGTGTTTGTGTAGAACTCACCTCTAAGTTTCCGCGGGCTTTCTTTAAGACACCATGCGTGAGAGAGACTGCATGAACAAACAAAAACGCATAAGCATCACGCAAAAAATACACACATACGCCCTTGCGTATCCGAAAAAAAAAGGCGTTTTTAGCCGAAAAAAGCGACCATGTATAGTAAGGCGTTTTTAGCGCAAAAAACGACCATGTATAGTCAGGCGTTTTTAGCCTAAAAAAACAAGCATGTATATTAAGGCGTTTTCAGCCGCAAAAAACGACCATGTATAGTAAGGCGTTTTTAGCCCAAAAAAACGACCATGTATAGTAAGGCGTTTTTAGCGCAAAAAACGACCATGTATAGTCAGGCGTTTTTAGCCTAAAAAAACAAGCATGTATATTAAGGCGTTTTCAGCCGCAAAAAACGACCATGTATAGTAAGGCGTTTTTAGCCCAAAAAAACGACCATGTATATTAAGGCATTTTTAGCCGAAAAAAACAAGCATGTATAGTAAGGCGTTTTTAGCCGAAAAAAGCGACCAAGTATAGTCAGGCGTTCTTAGCACAAAAAACGACCATGTATAGTAAGGCGTT